CTAGAAAGACTTCTTCCAATTATCTCTTGATTAGACGCTGATGGTTTCTATATCGATTTAGTCAGCAGTTTATTGGATTTGGACGTGTTCTAATTCAATTTATCATTTACACACATTTAAACACTGAACGCCAACTATTAGCAACAAGGTAATAAATGCAACAATCCTCATATTACCAGGAAATATATATATTATATTTTTTCAAATCATAAATTTAAAAAAATGGAATAAAACACGTATTAATGGTGATATACAATAACACTACTGTATATATCTAACTCTCTGGTCATACGTGGCAGCATATGTCTTACTTTTCTGTAGCCTAGAACTGAATAACAAATGCTTTATCATATCAGAAGCTTTATCTATGGTTTATTCACAAACAAATTACTAACATTTCTGATTACAATTTATTTTCTATTCACATTCTATTTATTGACTCTGCCGTTAACTTCGAGATAATTTTCCCAAGAAAATCTTCGCCTGCAATAATTTATTATTTTGCATTAGGCAATCACATTCGTGACATGTAACTTGAACTCTCATCTATTTGACCATTTATATATATATATATATGTGTGTGTGTGTGTTGAACTTTGTCGTAATCATCGTAATTCATCGCGTGGTTGTATGAAATTGGTTCAATTATTTAGTTGTAATATTGTCAAAATGTGATTATTAATTTTCCATCGATGTTTCCTGCATAAATGTATACTTTGAAGCCTGGAATATATGTTGACTAAAGTATGCCTGCACATTGGTTTACGCATATACTAAATATTTAGCTTAAGTAGAATTGGTAAATTATCCATCCTGTAAACTGTATTTTTAAGTTTAAGTTTACAACAAGCTTTTGTTCAATATTCAATAACAATTGCACATGTACAATGTATTCTGTAGTTGCACCACTCAACACAGAAGTTAAACAAGACTATCGCAGAGTTGTAGTTAATGCTAAAAGTATGTAAGACTATCCAGGGATTGTATACTACAGGTAGACATTAGTATTATTCACCATACCATCAAAATTCAATTTCAACTCATACATAAGAAATTATGCTAAACACGGTACCTGAGCTAGAAACAAATTTTCGGTTGTGCTCTTCTGCGTTCAATAAGTGGTGATAACTTTCATTTTTTGTATTTTTTTTTCGTATAAATTGAGGATATTTATCTTTATTTGACTAGTTGCCATTCTTTTCACTTATCCTAACTCACTTGGGTGTGATAAGGTTTTTCGGTAGAAGTACATTAGCAAGTTCAGACACATGAGATTTATTTTGTTCTCATATATAATTAAAGATGTGTGAAGTGATTGCTATTTTTCAAACTATATATCATATATGAGGTGTAAAATATATGATACAATGTTTGTATTGTATTGTATTTATCGAAAGTTGGTTTCCTTCAGAGAAAACAATCAACGACCGCTACTTGGATTTTATTATACAAATTATATTTACTACTATTTGATACAGTATGTGCAATGCCATCCAATGTCAATTAAGCATCACTGCTGAAACCGCACTCATTTTCTGAATGGAGTATACGAATTTCAATAACTAAAAGGAGCAATGATCTTATAGACAATATCTGGTTTGTAAAATGTACATATGTTTATAAGATATGTTCCACATTAAGTGCTGCTTAATCCTTGTAATGAAGTAAAATATGTAAAAATGTTTTATAAATCAAGGTAGTGCACTTATGTGATAACCTATGTAAAGAATTATTTTCCAACGTACACTTTTCGATAGTAGAAATATTCTTAGAAATAAAGTGTTCATTCCCCATTATTGGAAAAAAATCTATAAACATAGATCAATTATTCACGATCATGTGCTAGCAATCTCATTATAAATAAGAAATACCTCTCATATCATCATACACTAAGCGTGTATTACAAATATGTGATTAATAAATACGTTTTGTTAACCTATCCAAAACACAAGTAGACAAATGTCCCTCCAAGATAGCATTCAAACCCTGGCAATGAACTCTGTTCTTTTAAATATATTCATAATTTTGGTTGTCGATCGAGACTAATTCACGTAGTCGTATTATAGCAGTCTCATTATTTCACGACACTTATTTATTATTACAATATACAGTCGTGTAAATACGTTATGCCGTCCCGTGTCTCTGTTCAGGCATCCACTCTCTAGCATACAATGTGTAGTAGTAACATTATACTGGATTGTGTCGCGCATGTCATCTAGCGATCAATTCAAAACAATAATTGCGATTGACTATTGAATATAACATCGCTGGATTTCAGTCATTGTTATGTATGTGAGATTGGTGATTAATTGTAGCTATCGCGATGACATGAACTACTTTAAACGAAAGGAATAACTAGAATAATTCATTATGTACATTGAAAATCTACGCAAAATATGTGTCGGTAAATTGAAAACATTGAATACGAATAAATGGTATACAAATACTCGAGCGTGATAAACATAAACATATAAAAACAATTATATCATCGCTCGAGTAACTTGGCCATATGTCGTAATATCATGACGCATATGACAGGTATGAATAGTCATCGTTACTTAATCAAATTCAATAGCCCAGACGTTTTGGGATCAATAACCCCTTCATGTGAACATCTGAATCTGAAAATCATGAACAGTTTTTAAAAGCTGGGTTCAAGTCAAATCAATCGAACAAGAATGGTTGGCACAGTATTTTTTTTTTATAAACGATGGACGGAGATGATTGTTAACCATATAAATATAAATCATGCATTTTTGTGTCTGGGAACGAAATATACAGGCGAACTACATAAATTAAATTATGTCATTATACTTTATCCGACAATAAATATTATATTTATTAAATGCATTTTCCTATTTTCAATTTGTTCATAGAGACTGATAAGTTAGTTTATTAAATCTGCTAGAGGTCAATACTATATGATTGTTATTCATTACAAATAATACCTTCATCATCGCTACGCATGAATTTACGTTTGTTTGTAAAACAAAGTAGAGTACCATATGTTCGTCTTTCTTTGTATACGTTTATAAGATTTGGAACTCTGGCTTGATCCCGCGGGGTTCAAACACATGATATGATGCTCGTATTCCGGTGCACGCTTGGTATATCACGACACACAGATGCCATTCACAAATATCTAAGTATTTACACACATTATGCAAATCGCGTATATACACTTGATATATACCATAAATATGAGGCTACGTTTGTAAAATTTGTCATCAGCTATGTCGGCAAATTATTGCTCCAGTGGTAGTGAAGGATGTAAATTAGTGTTTACCAGGTGCTTTGTTTTTAGCGGATAGTTAGTTAAATCCTTGAATTGATCATTTTGAATTCATATTGTTCTCAGTACATGAGTAAAGTTATTATTATTTCTCTAAATATCAGACTGATTGTTTTTACAAAAATGACAAATTAATTTAAAATTAAAACATATTGGCTGACTGCTCTATATTGCGGTTCGGAATGTGTCATTAGCAAGACGTCACGGAATACTTCCTCCGGATTGTTTTCTGTTTTTGAGACGTATGCATATTGTAAATCATTTAGTGAAACTGTTTCAGTATAGAGAATATTTTTGCATAAAAGTGTTAGAAAAAAAAATTGAGGGAAAATAAAAGATTATTTAAATCCGAAATAAATCCGAACTGAACGACAATTGTTTGCTTGATGAATCTTTAGGATTCGAAATTCAATCTATGTATATATCAATTACATCTACTACATGATTAATTATATTATACCCAATGTTCAGTTCGAATAAAACAAAATAATGTTAAATTACGAACTCACTAGTCAACGATTACCAGCTGAATAAATGAAGCAATTTCGTTTGGAAATAACAGGTATGTCATTAATAAAATACGTTATTACATATCCCATTCGATATCATTTGATTACATTTTCGTGACAGCATAACATCTTTCACTTATCACAAGTGTTGGAGAATAGTATTATGCGAAACTCGAGAATAATCATGAAACGATGATATTGATGGATAAAGCTGTTTCGCTAACGTCACATTTGGCATTCACTTCTTAATACCGTTCCCGTCTCACCGCATTTCCGCAGGTATCTTAGGGAGTCTGGCATGAAATACAAACCTATCAGTATAGTGTTATTATATACGTTCTGTACTGCGCTCTAGCTACTCGCTCTCTCTCTCTCCCTCTTTCACTTTCTCTTTTACTGACAGCACGAAGACATAATGGAGACTAACTCCACGGAGTTAAATACTTCGTTTCTGTGTGAAAACAACGTGGTGTGCGGAACACAGAGCCAGCTACCGGGATGTATACTGGATTCTGACAGTCAGTTCATAGCGGGACTTATAATATGTACCGTTGGAATTTTCGGCAACTCAGCATTCATGTTTGTTGTTTTGCGAATACCATATATGCGTACAGCTATTAACGCTTTCTTGGTGAACCTGGCCATAGCGGATCTGCTACACTTAGTCGGACACTGGTTTACCTGGATCTGCGCCTTGCTGGAAGTAAAACAGTGCCCTATGAAGACAAGTATGCCTTTGATTTGCATGGACCTTTTTATGTCAAAAGTTACACAGTATGTTTCTCTTTTTACCGTTACCGTGCTCAGTATTGACAGGTATATGGCATTATGTAAACCTCTAATGTATCGAGACGGAATCCTCCATAAACGCAAAAGGGTCGCTTTAGTGATCATTACAGTCTGGAGCCTTGGTGTCTTACTGAGCCTCGAATGGTTAGTATCCTGTCTGAATTTCAACCCGCTACTCTATGCGTTACCAGAGCTTATTTGAGTCGATTTACGTCGGTTCGGTTATTCTGTTAATGTGCGCTGTCTTGAGCGTATATTCCATCATTATCCGAGAAGTGCGCAACGCCAGGAACTCTGAGCATGCTGGTTCAATACGAACGCATGAACACCAAATCATGCGAGTTTGTCTGACAACTACATTCTTGTACTTTACGTTCACTCTCCCCGTTGTTGTCATGCTGATCACGTATCTTCTATGGAGGTACGGAAACCTTTCTATCCCATCACAATTCGTCTACTGTATCGCCAATGTAGGAGCGTATTCACTGGAACTTAATTCCGCACTCAATCCTGTCATTTACAATGCCATGAGTTCTCGATACAGGAAGGCCTTTCAAGATGCATTCGCAAT